TTTGACTTGTACATAATCAATATCGAGTGTACAAAATCAGATTTGACCTGTACATAATCAATATCGATTGTACAAAAGCGATATCTCATAGTAACCGCGCGGTTTGACATCGCCGAAAAATGTTCGGCCACTTTTTCTCCTATCATTTTTTTCTCTACTAATTTCCTTTGGTTTCTCTTTGATTCCGGCAGTGTTGTTTTGCATATATGTTTACAACTAATGCACAATGCGAAATACCTAATTTAGCTGATGGTGAATGGTAGTGTTTTTATTTCATCTTTACAGATACCTATTTAACTTCAGAAGTTAAGAAAAAAACTATATTGCGTAGCATTGATATGATTGCGATTTACAAATATTTCAAAGAATCTCCATAAAACTGATGTTGATAGTTTGATATCAACAACTTTGATGCCAACCAATCTCATGTTCTTTTCTTCTTTCTAGCTCTCTTCTAGGTTTTCAAGTTTTGCACACGTTAAAATATTCCATACAATGAATTTAGATTCATGGCATCATCATCATTATCATCATGAGAAATGATGTCCAATTAGAACTATGATTACATTAAAAATTTGTAATTGGCCAATCTTCATACATACACACACACACGCACACACACACAAATCTATATTGTAGCACTCTGTGAAATCGCGTAATTAATTTATTTACGTGTTTTCGTTGACTTATCAAGTGTGCGAGCACTCTGTCGGCCAAGTGTTCTACCGCTCTGCAATATACATTGCAAAGTAAAATCTCGTTGCAAAAATGGCATCGTCATCATCAATCTCTGACCATTTCAGTACGATCTGCAAAAAACGAAGACATAGCATTAAGAATTTTTCCATATGGCAAGCAAATAACATATCATCAAAATAAAATAAATAAAATAAATAAAATGCCAATAAAAAAGGGATAATTATATGAAAGCACCGCAATTACATTAAAAATCGAATTTGAAATGTGCACAGCGATTGCTGCCGTCAAGTGAGAGAACGAAGAACGAGTCGGGAATGTTTTGTGTGCAAAGAGAGCTACAGAACAAAAAAAAATGAAACGAACATCAATAAAACAATTTGGAAAAGTTCATCGACACGGTTCATTGGAATTTAGTGTGTGAAAAGATGGATTATGGTGTATGTACTGTATATGTAATTAAATTGATTTTGACCTGTGTATGCCTCTATTCTCTCTACTCTGTTACTCTCTTTTTTTATATTATTTCATTATTATTACTCTTCTCTAACGATTAGTTATGTGTCCGGGTACGGGTCCATCTTCTCTTAGTTTTTTTTCTTCGCTGATTCGAATTATGTTTACATTCGATCAAATCTATGAGTTGAACGAAAGAGACAAAAGAGCAACAAAATAATCATAAATTGTTATTATTATCAGGCATGTTGATGTTGGTATTGCATCCAAGTACCTATTTTTTCTCCTACACGCACAGCAACCTTACACTTTCAATTGATGAAACTATTCATTATTTTTTTCACCAACAATCAACAATGTGCGGATCAACACAGCATGCGCTACATGCAAATTTCAAATATCATCATTGCTGTCGACGTCGTTCTTAGTTTCGTTTGGCTATTTCGATCACTGGCTATTTTTAATTTTTGAGCTCACAATTGATTTTGCATAATCATTGTGAGCACAGCATACGCAACTTTCAAACTTTGATATACAAACGCATTTACACATAAAATAAATTCTCATCAACAAATGCGATACAAGCGGAAAATCACAAAAGAGCACACAAAAATAAAACTGCCGAATAAATTTTAAACAACAACAGGCAAATAGAAAAAAAAACACAGAGAAATAATCGAAAATCAGATAAATATAACAACAAACAACTTATTTATTCAATTAAAAGTTTTTGAGCAAAGTGTGCACACCACAAACAGTCGACTTTATCTGCGCTAAAACCACATCTAAATACCAATTTATTTCGCTATATATTCAATCAAATAAAAAACCACTGTCGCGGTAAAGAACGAGTGACGAAACCAAAATTTGAAACACAACATTTCTGATAGCAATTTTGTGACGAAAATAGTTGGTTGATCATTTTTCTGTGTACTGTGAATAAAAACTTAATATAAATTTGTACATTCAAAACATTTCAGAGATTCTTCTCTTTTTACTGACGTTCCGAATAATATTTCGTGTATATATAGTAGGGTGGAACTATTTTACTTTTCCGCACACCTAGTGTAGGAAAGGTATTGTATTAGGCCAAAAAATTAAAGTCACCTCAAAACATGTTTTCTATGCATATTTCATGTAGAAACGACCCTCTCTTGCGTCCTATATTGACAATGTATTTGAAGATGACGCCATCTCTTTCACGCCTTTGAAAACAATGAAGCTTGTAAACTTCGCAAATTTCTCATATATTTTTTTCTTCAAATTTTATTTCAAAATTGTATGAATTACACTGTTGGCCCAGTCGGACCAAATTGTATACTTTTACGATTTTTCTATATAAAAAATCCATATGGATTAAAAAAAATCCTGAAGGAAATTCAAAATATTAAAACAATACTCAAAATTATTTTTTTTTGAATTCATTTTGTTAATTGTCATCGATTTTACGGAGCAAAACAAAATTGTCAACTGTAGCTGTCACAGAAAAAATAGAAATACATAAACATCACATGTACGCTCAAAGTATCACAGCGATGAAGCTAAGTAGTGAGCGCATGTATTAGAATGTTCGCTCAGCATATTTTTCTCTGTTGTTATGGCTTGTACGTGTGTCGCTTGTGTACATGTATTGTTTCTGTGACAGCTACAGTTCGTTTTGCTACAGTTCGTTTTGCATTATATGTTTTGCTCCGTAAAATCGATGACAATTAACAAAATGAATTCATTATTTTGTTATTAATTTTGAGTATTGTTTTAATATTTTGACTTTAAATCCCTCAGTATTTTTTCAATCCATATGGATTTTTTATATAGAAAAATCCTAAGAGTATACAATTTAGTCCGACTGGGCCCACAGTGTAAATAAGTTTTGCAATAGTAGCAACGAAAATAATTAATAATTGCAGATTTGCGTTAAGGTTTTTTGAAGAAAAAAGAATTGGCAACATTTTTAATTTTTTATTTGCATAATACTGATAATTAATCTGAAAAATATTCTCTTCATGTTGTTTGTGTTGTTTATTTTGACAGATATACAAAAATAATATTTTCTCCAATTGTCATCTCTACATATCTCTACACCGTAAGGCTATCTCATAAGTCAAAAGACGAGAATCATATAACATAAAATATTTGTGTGTTGTTACTTCAATTTTTTTATTTATAATAAATTCTATTAATTATTTTCGTTGCTACTATTGCAAAACTTATTTAATTTATATATGAGAAATTTGAGAAGTTTACAAGCTTCATTGTTTTCAAGGGCGTGAAAGAGATGGCGCTCGCAGAAAGTGATTCGCTTGAAAGTCTACTGTAGAAATCACGACTGGATAGATGATTTTGGGGCATATTAATGTGCGTCGCTGTGTGTGATGTGTCCTGTGTCCTGTGGCGTGCAAAATTTGTTAACACGATAAATCTTCTTCCAAAAACTCAATTCAAATTCTGACTTTGGGACTACTAGGAGACGTGCTGATTAGTTTTTGAGCATTATCTGTTGACCAGTGTAATTTTTTTTGGTCCGAATGGAGTACCCACATCCATACATTTTTTGATCATTTTTCAACCATTTTGTTGACACGATGGTTTCGTGCTGAGGCATGAAATTCAAAATCTAGCTTTACAGGATGATTGGGCACTACGAGGAATAGATCTGGCCAAAGGGGATCTTAGATAATAGTAAATTTGTAATTTGACTATTTATCAATAGATGGCAACACATAAAATAGCAACTTCGAAACAGATACGCATTTCCGTTATGGACACTCGCCCAAATGTCGGACTATTTGTTTGAATTTTCAACTTCAATTTAATATTTAACACTTTTGATTTCATCTGAAAATATCATTATATACACAATTCTATGCAGAATTTAATTGTGCTTCATTTCACACTTGTCAAAAGAAAGAAATGTCCGAAAATATATTATTATTTTCCATTTTTCCGTCGTAACATCGAAAATTCCAAATGAACAGCTCAGGAACGCATTCTTTACATTGAGGAAAACAATTGTCTCAAAATGACATAGTTTAACTTTTGACGTGAAAAAGTAATAAGAATACCGAATTTTTTTGAACTTAATTTGTGAAAGCAATAATTTTTGATTTTTGATTAAAATTTGGATTATAATAAAGAGATTTGATATTGATCTTTCATAATTTACTTTTAAAAATGCAATTAAAATGAATTTTTAACTTTTAATTTCAATTCACCTCTCGGTATTCCGACATTTGGTCGTGTGTCGACATTTGGCAATGTACTGTATACACAATTCGATGCAGAATTTAATTGTGCTTCTAAAAAAGAAAGTATTTTCCAAAAATGTATTTTTTTTTCCATTTTTTCGTCGTAGCATCGAAAATCCCAAATGTCGGATATCCATCGTCCAAATCTCGACTCCCTAATTCATAAATTTTCACTGCGAAACTTGTACAACTTTAAGTTTTGACAGTTAATGAACGCACTCTTTACATTGAGGTAAACAATACAAAATATTGGAGTTAAAATTATTAGATTGATATATTTTTGCTCCATATTTAATTTTATTTATTTTCCCATAGTAAAATGGCAAAAATACTTTAAAATATTGTGTTTTTCCACTGATTTGATTTGAATTTCACAATGATCCAAATACATACATAACTGTCACATCTGTCAAATCAAAAGTGTTTCACTTGAAATGTTCGGCGCTTTATGTGTCGGCAATTGGACTATTTATTCCGGAATAATATTACAGTGAAAAATGGAACATAAATATAATTGTTTTTCTTTATATTTTCAATATTTCTGTTCAATAACTAAATTAAACAATCTACAATTCGCAGATATAATTTTTTTTTCAAAGTAGTTATTTTTTCATACCAAAAAATGCATTTTACCGGCTCGTCTAAAAATGATATAGTTTAACTTTTGAAAGCAATAATAGATTTTTGATGAATATTTGGATTTATTATATATAGATTTCATATTGATCATTCACAATTTGTTTTTAAAAATGCAATTAAAACGAATTTTCGATTTTTAATTTCAATTCACCTCTCGGTATTCCGACATTTGGTCGTGCGTCGACATTTGGCAATCTACTGTACTTATTGTAAAAAATGTAATAAAAAATCGCGTGCTGAGAAAAAATAAATATTTGTGCATTATACCCTGTGTATAATAAATATTGTTACTGTTTTTCTCAGCACGCGATTTTTTATTACATTTTTTACGATAAGTATAGGAAATGCGTATTTGTTTCGAAGTTGCTATTTTATGTGTCGCCATCTATTGGTAAATAGTTGGAACTACTTTCTTACTAAAGTGTCATACAATTGCTAAGAAACTCTTTTCAATGACATTGATTGATCGGTGTAAAACTTAGACTCTGAAGAGGCACTTATGAGAAAAATGCCTTAAAATGATATTCTTTCAATTTGAACGCTGATAGAATGTGTAGTGGGGGGTTTTTTGGCACGAGAAACCCGAATCTAATGTTAGTTTTAAGATGCAATCAATTTTTCACAGACTTTTCACGCAAAAATCCACAAAAAAATTTCATTTTTGTATGAAAGATATGCCTTTGTGGTACCGTAATGATGTGAAACTTTGAACAGGCTATTTTGTTTGATTGAATTTTCTTTAAACTAGGTGTGATTATTTATTTTGATAAGAAAATAATATTCACAAGGTTTCACGGCAATTTAAGTTACTGCAACCATACATAGACCATAATTTCAGTTTATTCCCAAAATTTCAGTTTATTCTTATTTTCCGACCAAAATACATAATATCGCAAGTTTTATGACATTACGATAAAAAATAAGGGTACCTCCCATACAACATGGTAATTTTTTTCGTATTTGAAAACAAGAATTTTGTATTGAAGGTACCCATGTTTTTGATTGAAACTTCATCAAACTTGGTGATGTTATGTATTCTGGTCAGAAAATAAGATTCACAACTTTTCACGATGATTAGGTTACCGCAATTTTTGTGATTTCCCAGTAAAATGGTCCTCTTGTATTTTCAAGTCACTGTCTTATATCAAGTCGAAAGTTGAAAATTCTTTCATATCTTGAATCTGGAGACCATAAGACATGTTTTTCCAGGTGGCCGCAATAATATGTCGAAAATGTTCCACCTAAAATATATAGCGAGTCGACCTTTCAACACACTAATGGGGTTTCGTCACTCGCGCGAACTACACAGAAACAAATATCCGAGTACGGTAACTCGCACTTGCGTTGTTAGCAGAGAGTCTACTCTTCAAAATGAGTTACGCACTCTATTTTACTCTATTTTTGGTGTTAATTTCATCCAAGTGAACACATCATAGTGAAAGAAGAAATACATGTGTAGTCATAGCCGCATGCGTTCAACGTACATATGACTACACATGTATCTCTTCTTTCACTATGATGTGTTCACTTGGATGAAATGAACACCAAAAATAGAGTAAAATAGAGTGCGTAACTCATTTTGAGGGGTAGACTTTCTGCTAACACCGCAATTGCGAGTGAGCGTACTCGAATATTTGTTTCTGTGTACCGTGCGCTGTGATGTATTTCTCAGCGATATCCCT